ATATAGATATATATATATTAATTTATGTAGGGTTTTTTTCTTTTACAATATTTAATCTACAGTGACATTCTTTATTGGGTATGCAATGCACTGATAGGGTAGTTAATGGAGCTGTAATGATGAGATTGGTGTTGGCTGGGGGTACGAGGGCGAGGGTTGCATGCTTGAGAGCACAAACAGAGCGTGCTATTATGTAACTGTGCAGAGGGGATGTGGTCCACACATTGTGTTCAGTCCTGCTGCTCATGCTGGGGCTGTTCTTCACTGCTTTCATCAGGAACCTTGCAGTTGGTGTGATAATGCAGAAATATGAGGGTGTGTTTATTCTTTATCAGTTGGCTGGAATTCCCTTTGGTAGCCTGGAAAGAAAAAATCAGGGTGGTTATTGTTATGACACTTGTGGAAAAGCAAGCTTGTCAGGGCCAGGAGAATGACAATAATGTCTCGGCACCAAGGCTCTTCTGACAAGCATGGGTGGAGGGGCTTTAGACATACAAGGGAAACAAGACTGCCTTGCTAACTTTTAACATAAGAAATAGGATACAGAGTAGCTAGGACCACTAGGAATCCTTTCATAACTTGAAAAATTAAAATTTGCTGCTTTTGTGTCAAAACTTCCCTATCTAAACAAGTTCTTGGGTTTCTTTTTCCTGCACTTCCCACTGAGTAAATGTGCATGCACATATCCTCTTGTCCCTCTTACCCCACCTTTTTCTTTTAGATATGATCTTTCATCAGAGGCGTTTTGCCAGAAAGGTTTGTTTCAGATCCCCTGTAGTCTGTTTGAAGTGGTGTTCTCAGGCTTGCAAGGTAAGTAGCACAGCAGTTGCACGCCATTACGTTTCCCGGTGCTCTTGAGGGAAAAGAGATGAGACCCAAAATTTAAAGGCAAGTTTTAAGATTCTTTGCTTCAAACCCTTTGAGGTAGTGCGATGTGCAACTCAAGCCTAAGATTCATTCAAACCAAGATTAAGAAATATAAAGAGATATATATCTTTTTTATATATATTTGTGTATATAGATAAACATGCAAATGAAATGCCAGTGGCATGCTGTACTATAAATAAGAAAATACTTTAACCTTTCATTAGAGCAGCTGTTTCCTTGCACTTGAAGCAACATCTGCTTGACTGATTTAAGGATTTATTTTGGGCTTCTGCTTGTATTTGGTGATTTAGTTTATTATTTTTAAAATGGAAATATTCCTCCTGCATTTTACACATACTTTGTAGTATATCACATAAAATTATTAGTTTATCTTGATGTGCCTTTTATATTTCATAGTAGGACTATAAGAAATGCTCCTCAAGAACAAAAAACTACAGAACTATGAAGTTATCTGTCTTGGGGAGGTGAAGAAGGGGAAGAAGGAACTAACGTTTTTAACTTTTTATTTTTCCCTGTTGCTTATGCTGTACATTAACTGCAGAAGTATAACTGAATCAAATTTTACAGGAATCTGAGTTAGTTTTGATTATTTCTCTATGATATTCTTTCTGTATTCACTGGTAATCTCAAAACTTGGTGAGGATAAGGAGAAATGTGTCTCCTTAATACTATGCTATCTGAAGAATGACTTCAGTTCTATATTAATGCCATGTCCTAATCATATTTTAAGTGCTGAGCAGGACTAATCTTCGGGGGGGGTGGGAGTGTGGGTGTTAATCATCTCCTTGTAGGATCCAAATCAGACAGCTCTAGGGAGCTGATGATTTGGTGTTCTGTCTGCTGCCTAGGAAAGTGTTACGATCTTCAAAAGAGATAATCCCAACCACGGGTAAGCTACACACAGATGAAGAGTAAGAAATCCTTAGGTAGCCTGCATAAAATCAGAGTTGGGTGACTACTTGGCCAGAGGGAGCAAGCTGAGGGGGCCAGTTAGAGTAGAGGAAGTGGATGCAGGGAGATTGGAGTGAGAGGCTGAAGGGCTGCTGGTGATGAAGCTCCTCATCACTGCTACCGACAGCAGGCACTGCTGCTGAATATTTGGGGTTGTTTGGTTTGTTTGTTTCCTAAACAGGCAGCCCATTCCCAAGTACAATAACAGTTTGTGGTGCAGTCTGAACCTCTTGAATTTTTGGCAGTGTGCTGGTTTTGTAATGAGATGCATTAATGCTTAAAGGATAATTAAAGATAATGAGGTATAGAGAAAGTGGAATGCAGTGCAGCCTCTGAAAGGCAGAGGTTGGCAAGCTGACTTTTGATGAAAAGAACTTATTTTCTACATAGACATTTTTATAGTTTAATCTGAATATGTACACAGTAAATGATGTGATGCTATATTGCAAACTGTTGGTTAAATAGGAGAAATTAGGATTTAGTAGAGAAATTGTGAGTGTGCCTAAGAGCCTAACGTAAAGGGCCTGGCTGAAGGGAGGGAAACCAGCTCAGAGAGAGCTCCTTCTTGCTCATTATGGATCAGTTGTCAGATCAGTCTTGCATTTCCTGATTCATCTAATGACAAAGGTATATATAGAGGCATCTTGCTGCTAGAATTTGATGACATGAAGAAATACTCTAGAGAGAAAGGAGTGTTATATTGAAATTCTGGGGGTTTTCATAGGAGATGGGCCCAGGCATGGGGGAGATCTGAAACTTTGTAGTACAGAATGTTTCTTTCCACCTTGCCTCTTTTCCCCAGGGAGGGATGGAATAATAGGAGTGGTATGAAATTTGGAGCCTTGTGCTTTAGGGCATTACAGCCAAAATGTCGGTTATAAGAGTGGAGGCTGAATTATTGAAAGGATTGAAGTGGAGAAGGGTACAAAGTAACTGAGCAAACAGCATGGTGCATTTATGAAAAAGGTATATGTGCTCTTGGGACATAAGCACAGAAGGTGTTTCCAGTAGACAGAGGAAATTACTGGTGGTGTTATACAAGCATCTGGTGAGACATAGAAGCATAGCATCAGCTAGGTTGGAAAAGACCTTTGAGATCATCAAGTCCAACTGTTACCCCAGGACTGCCAAGTCAACCACTAAACCATGTCAGAAATAAGTCATCTGTTTTGAGGAGAAGAGGGAAGAAATGGAAATATGCAGAGACAGGCTCCTGGGATGAGTGGATGTCTCATTAGAGAAAGATGAAGAGTTTGTCTCGGGCAGTCCAGCTATAGAAACCATATATAAGTGCTGTCCATACATACACAAGTGGAGACAACTAAAAGCGGGGGGAACTACTTAAACTGAAAGACAATATAAGCAAACCAAAAAGTAGACATGGTCTGGCCATTGCTGAACTTAGGCATAACATTTTGTAGTTGTAATTCAATTACAGTAGCCAGGTTTTTGGAGTAAACAGGAATAGTGGAACTCGGTTGCATTTTCTGCTAAATCTTGTTGAGATTTGAAAATAATTCCTTAATCATTCTGGAAATATCAAAGAAAACAGAAGTTTAATGCTTGTAGCCATATGTGTTCCGAATTTTATGAATAATTGTCTTTGACTAAACAGTATTCCTGCAGCTTTTCTCCTTTAAGTTGTTTTGTGATTTCCTGGTATGCAGCGATTTGGACTTGATGATCTTAAAGGTCTTTTCCAACCTAGTTGATTCTAAGATACTGTGCTATTCTTACAATAGCTGTGGTGCTTTCTCAGAGACAGCAATCTCTTGGCTTCTGAAGGGCATTAGCAGGGAACAGGGAGGGGAACCTGGCCTTTTACATTAACTCTTTGAATCCTTGCTACACTTTGAAATAAAGACTGAATTGCTTTTTGCAGGGGTCATTTTCTTCATTGACCTTAAAGTGTACAGGATGATAGAGACTGTAAATTGGATACCTACCTCCATTAGGTGCTTAAAGATGGGTAGGATAAATACAAGCTAAAGCATTCAAGAGAGAATAAATAACCTTTCTGGAGAGCTTTTGAAATAAGTGGTGGCAGGTAACTGAGGCAGGGCTGTCGAGTGCAGTGGATGCGATGTGCTGCGATTTTTTTTTTTCCCCTGAAGAAGTCTTGAAAATTTGGCCATCTCTGTAAATCTTTCCTTTTGTATCTGATCTAGAAAACAGTTTACCTAATTCCAGCAAGGAAAGCTCTGTCCAACTTAAAATGAGAGCCACGGTCTGAGAGTGTGATTTGGAAAAAAGTATCCAAGCAGTTAGGATACTGAAGTCTTACTAATAGTTGATGCGATTTAGGCTGTAGGCCTAGCCACAGAAGCAGCTCAACTCCTAATTGCCATGGGCGTTGGTAAGTGCTAGTTACCCAAACACACGTTGTGACCTTGCTAACAGTTGCTTGAGGAGCCAGAGTTTAATCTCTTTTGCATTGTGAGTCACTATTGTCATAGTGAGCTCTTTGTACAGGTTATTTTAATGCTATATGGAAAAGGCATTATACTCAGTAACTTGCAAATAAAAGAGAGGAAAATTATAGCTGAAGATGCTGACGGTTAGATAAAGGAAATCAGTGATAGAAAAACTGTGATATGGTGTTATTACTGTATTACATGTGGATGTCAACTGATTTGCTTGGAGTAAAAGGCAGTGGTGGAACAAAGTTTTGGGTTCAGAAGACTGGCAGAGGGATTCAAGTTCTCTGGCAGCTGGGAGCGAGGAAGGATGCTGTCTGACTCCCTGGTGCTTTGTAGGCGATGCAGTGGGTGAGATCAGGGCTGACAAGTATCATACTGGGGGGAGGGTGCTAGGGTTTTTACTGGGGCGTGAGCCTATGCAGGTTCAGATTTTGATATTTTTAATGCTCTCTGTTTGGGTTATTTTTTCAGGTTTATATTTTCCCCCTTCATTCAAGAAGATATATTGCTAGTGTTTCTTGGCTGGAATTTTTTTATATTCTGCTGAAATCTTGTTTTAGTGGCACAGCTGATTCCATCACTACGTATCAGAATCTTCTGGCATTTATCATCAAAAATGCCAGCTGTTACAATTTAATCTTCCTAGATTGCGTGTAAGCAACAACATTTTATTCACCTCTTTTGACCCTATTTTTAACACCAGCTTAAACAGTTTTCTCAAATCACTTTGGGTCAATCTTCTTCTAAAACCAATGGCACCTTTTAGTAACTTTAAAAAAAGAAATAGGACTTTGTCTTCCCCGCATACCTCCCTAATAGTGCATTTTCATTTATTTTTATTTTTTTTTTACAGATAAATTTGCGCCTCATCTTGGTAAGTGGGAAAACGAAAGAGTTCCTATTTTCACCAAATGACTCTGCTGCAGATATTGCAAAACATGTGTATGACAACTGGCCGATGGGTGAGTAGCTCTGTGGCTTTGGCTTTTTAACTGGCGAGCTAGAAGCTTCCCTGTATTGTCAGACTAAAGTGCCAGTAAACTGATCTCTGTTCTCAATATTCAGATTGAGTATGTTTATTGTGTTACTGAGTACAGATTTCTATAGAATACAGTTGTTCTTCTGTTTCCTTGATTCTTTGGTTGGGCAGATTTTCAGATGTCTGGACTATTTCCCACTTTATTTCTAAAATCTGCTTCCCCAAACTGCAGTACTGCTTTCCCCCAGTCTTCAGACACTTTTCTTGCTCAATCTTGTTAGAGGATCTAGTAAGTGTGAGTAAATGTTGGAGATATAAAACCTCTTATGTGAGGACAGCTACTGTAAAACATGGCATGTCACAGGAGCACTTTAGTGAAATTGAGACTGAATTACTTCTTCCTTACTGCCTTATCTTGGAAAGGATCTATAAAAATAGTATTTTTCCAGAAAAAAAATCAAATACAAAAGAACATTTTAAGAGACATGAGAAGACTGAGGGAAACTGAGGTTGTCTGTATGAATATATTTGGTGTTAAGAAGGAATACTGGCTTCAGAAAACTTAAGATGTGTATTCGCATATGTGAATAGTTCCACAAAAACAGAGTGCTTCTGTTCTCCCTGACCATGATTTCATGGGAAAATAGCCAAAACACAGACATAGCATACATACGATGAAAGAAAATGCTTCTTTTGGTACAGAACTTCATCTGGGTTACTGTTTTATGTTAAAAAAGACTACTGTTTACACAAACTAAAACATTGCAATATCTGTTTCTGTGGTGCCTTTGTCAAAGATGCATGGTAGATGATAATTCATGCCAAAAAGTTAGTGCTGATAATCCATATTTTAGGCCTTAAACTGTTCTTTGAGGTCAGGAAGAACAGGATTTCAGGGGACTTGTTTGCTGTTTGTTTTGCTAGCATTATGTATTTAATAAAATACGGCATGAAGGAGGAGGTTTTTAGTCCTCTGAAGTGTTAGATATACATGTAAAACACTTTTATACTAAGAAATTTGGTTGATGTATCATAAAATCATAGAATGGTTTGGGTTGGAAGGGATCTTAGAGCTTATCTAGTTCCAACCCGCTGCCATAGGCAGGGACACCTTCCACTAGACGAGGTTGCTCAAAGACCCATCCAGTCTGGCCTTGAAATGCACATCATTGAAATGAACTGTACGTATTTTAATGTGTACCTACAGCATAGTTGTCACGATCAAGTACTCTTTGTGTACTTTCATCTGAATTAGTAAAGGCAGAACTGTTGTTTTCCTTACTCAAGTTTATTCCCGAACATGTGGTCTCATGTCCCCAGTCTTGTGAAGAGCTTGAAGGCTGCGGATTCTGAGTTGAGAAAAAACCCAGACTTTAAAGTCTCTTTTTAAGAAAAACAAGAGTAGAACCGGACATGGAAGCCTCAGTTCAAATACCTGCTGCCCTGAGGGAGTTCTCTAAATCTTGATGAATATTTGATTGCCTGTGTAAAGAAGAATAATGTCAATTTAAAAGACTGAGGAAAAAATCTACTTCAAAATAGTGTCTAGGTTTTCACAAACATGAGCCGTTTTCAGGCTGAGAGTGCTCTTTGCCACAGGACTGAGAAATCTTGGTGAGAATCAAATTATCCTTGAAATAGAGATGATATGGAATGGTTTGCTTTAGCACTATTTGACTTCTCATGATCTTAGAGAGGGGGGAAGATTATGAAATATTCTCAGTTACATGCTGGCAGGATTAAGGCAAACTTCTCTTTTGGTAAGACAGTTGTTAATTAAGAATCTCTTGACTTGTAGTGGAAAATACCAAATTTATATTAATGTGTGTCACCTAGGTAGATTACCCGTTCTCTTCCTGCCCTCCCCATTTTCTTCTAAATAATATTAACATTTTTACTGTACTGCAATTATCTGCTGAACTCAAAAGAGAGTCCTAGGTAAATAGCTTCTCCTTGGTTCATTTAGTCATGAGTGGAAATGAAAATCTGAAATCATGTCGGGAAGAAGTGTTTCAGACTGCCAGCCAAGAAGCAGAAATTAAAAGGATGGGTGAATTGGCAGCATAACAATGAGCAAATACCGGTGCCAAAATGTAGTCTGTCTTCTGTTGGTCACTGGTTTATGTCATGATGGCATTATAAACGGGCTGAACTTACCTTTACAGCCATGGTGCAGCAGAGTTCAGACTAAGTGGGGTAAAAATAAATAAATAAATGATCTTCTTATAACTTCCAAAAAATCATTCACCCCAGTAGTGTGATAATTCAGCTCCTTAACATAGCCCACTTCACAGCATAGCAAAAAGGGTATGTGCTTAAATTGCAAGACAGTTGAATCAGACCCTGAGTGGAAATACTTGAAATTCAAATAGCTTTGGTTGCCTAATTTGATCTAATCTTATAAACCAGGCACATGGCAGCACCCGGGGACACGGTAGCCGCTGCTGTTGATACCAGCCCTGCCGGCACCATGTTCTGGGGCTGCGATGGCTCCTACTGCCCATCTCTGCCTGCTTGCCTTTTCACACCAGATGCCTCCCCATACACTCTCTACAGCCGTGGTTTTTGTTTTAAATGCTTCCCCTTCTCCCCTTTTCAGTTCTTCTCCTTTTGTGGTGCCAGTTGCTGCTGCCTGTATGTTAATTGTATGTTCCCAGTGAACAGGTTGGTTTCTGTTGCTTGTCGTGATCCCATGCTGAATATTCATTTTGGCATATAAACACTACAAAAGCAGAGAGGGAGAACATTTGTGAACAGCTGTTGCCAGAGATCTGGTCAGCTAAGAAACAGAGGACACTGTATTCCCAGAGAACCCATTTAAATTCAACATTTCAAGGTTTTATGATATTTGTTCTGAAAGCAAAGTACACATTTATTTGTTGTTCACATTGTAATGGGGAACAGTGAAAGATTAGGAAAAGATCATTTAAGCTTGTCAATTATTTATGATGGCTTAAGCATTATAGGAAATGCATTATAGGAAAATGCATGCTTGCTTTCCCGAGTCACTGTTTGCCACAGAAAAACATCCACAGATTGTCCTTTGAGAAGTTCCTTACAATGTGTCAGTTGGCATCAGCTCTGTGAGAGGCCTCTGTTCAGGCTCTCTGCAGTGACTGCTGGGGGCTGCTCAGGTCACTGCCCCCTCTGGACATTTAACTGGTTGGATCTGGCCATCGTGGAACACTGCTGAGCAGCCTGCTGAGCCAGTTCAGGGCTGTCATCTCAGAATCCCATTTCAAATGACCCATCACATGCACTTTCATTCTGTGTGGCTGCTGCCTGTTGCTGCAGAGCAGCTCTAGTTAGCTGTTGAGGAGGAGGATGGCTGGAGAGCCTTCTAAATAGGAAGAAATTAAAGGCAATTTTATCCAAGAGGATATTAAATCCCAGGAAGCAACTTGCACTTTTAAAATATTTTATGTAGGACTTGTGTATGTGCTAAGTATCTCATGCAGTCTGTGAAGTTGGTAATATTTATACTTACAGGCATAAAATTGTGTGTTTCAATGCCAATGTCAAATAACAGATGTAAGGATAGGTTTCAGGAGTGCTAGCCTTGAACCATCTTTCTGTATCTTCAGCTTGTGCTCTCTCTTCAGTGTTTCATGCAAGAGTCCTATTCTTAGTTTTCTTCCTGGGTAAAGGTGAGAGAAATAACAAAGGATGTTTTTATTACAATGTAACTGTGAAAATTCTCTCTCTCCTTTTCAGATTGGGAAGAAGAACAAGTCAGCAGTCCAAATATCTTGCGGCTTATTTATCAAGGGAGGTTTCTTCATGGCAATGTGACATTAGGAGGTATGAAAATAATTTTCATTATGGATGTTACAGCCAGGCAAAGGTGACATTTATTTACAGTGCAGTAAATACTACTCTATTGTTCAAGATCACAGTACAGCTTGCTATATAGTACTATTCCTCTGCATAGAGTAACATGTATCTTGTTGTGTATTTTTCCATCTTGTTAAACTTTGGGGGGTACCACCTGCTAAGTCAAGTTTCCTCTTGCATAAAGAAATAGTAATGCTGCTTTTGTTTCTTCTTTCTAAAATGGAGTATTTTGTTCCATCTCTCTCATACTGCACTTGTTGGGTAATGTCTGAAGAATTTTAAAGTGTTAGATAAACACTATGATAATTGGTTAAACAATACTTTAAATCTTAGTGCAATGAAGGAAGACACTCTATGAATGAGAATGAGGGGAAGCATTCTTGCTGTCCAGTGCTCTCTCAGGGATACAATTGCATAGTTATGTGAAAACAGAAGTAAATGGCTCCACTTCATATGCTAAGGAAATGCAATTCAACTATGCCCCCTTGTGGCAAGCTTTCCCCCGTAATTATATCTATTTAATGGGTGTCTTTGGTAGAGATACGACACAAATTTGTAACAATAATCTTTCCTTTTGTAGAAAAAACTTGCCATTGTGAATATCAACTATTCAATGACTAAACAAAGGGAGAGTCTCTTCTTTGTGCCAGTTTAGAAATAAGTTAAAATTTCCACTTTCTCTGTATGTTCAGGTTTTTCATGCATTTGGTACTTGAGTGCAATACAGAGAGGAAAATAGAATACAAAGTAAAATTTCACCAATTCTGAAGTTAAAATGAACTTGAAAAGAGTATTTCTGGACTGCTTATGGTGATCTTTCCATGAAGAAGTGGCTGGAATGATATAGCCATTGATTTACTTTCCACTGTTACTGGTGTTGGCTGGTGATGTACTTTTAGAATGGATTTACTCTCCATATAAATCAATTTTTAATGCTGCTATATATGCAACCAAGATCATTGTCAACTCAACTGTGAGAACACTGAAATTTTTATTCATTCTTTAATTTGTATGCTTACCAGGTGCCAGTTAGTAGCAGTTGGAGTAGGGTTGAAAGACAAATATTAAGTCTTGGATCATCTCTGCCATTAGAGTTGCTATTCTTACCCTACCTTTTCCAGGCAATGAGATAGCTAAATGGGATTTTCTTTGCCATTCATCTCTATGTGTTGCTCTTGACCACCAGTGATTGTTCCCTTTGGTGACATTTGTCTAAATCTGAAACAACTTTGAATATTTGTTTAATACATATAATATATTGTTTAATGAGTTAAGATGAAAAATAACAGCTGCATGCTGTTGACTCTTGTGTTAAGTGAGGTCTATGGATTCTGAACACTTACTTGGGTTCAGGGCATTTTAGTTCATTACTCTTCATTCATGCATGCAATTTAATCACTATGGTTTTACCCTAAGGACCTTACATGTATATTAGTGTTCTTCAAAGATTTTTTCGTTGCTGTATTGTTTTAAGAAAAAAAAGCATCCCTAAAATGCTGGCTTTCTGTAGTGCTAATGAAGTTGTCTGGAGCCAGATTATCCATCTGAAAGGGAAGCAGCAGTTTATGGAGCAGCCTGAAAAGACTACTACTTCAGGTTGTGTTGTTCATTAGATGTAACCCTAAGTGAACTAGTTATCTTTAAAAGAGAAAGGGGGAGTGAAGGTGGGGTGATATTTCTTGCTAAATACAATATTTAGTTTGTTATGCTGTTATAATGCAGTTCATTAAGCTGTTCTAGCTGCAGCTCTATAACTGAGTTATAGCACTTAGTGTTTTATTTGCTTTAGGTGATTAGGAGATATTGACTGGAATTTGGACCTACTGTGTACTGAAAGTCACTTTATCAACCAGTGAAACAAAATTTTCCAAGGAAACAGTTTGGTGTTTTCTTTTTTTAACAGTCCAATTTTGTTCACTTTTAAAAGTGACGTTGCAGTGTTCTAGTTTTAACATCATATATCATAATATCCTATACCATCTCCTGAATTTGAGACTCCTATATACTCAGAAGCCTCAAAAAAAGACAAATTGACAGGAAAAACTGGCTTTTGAGTGAAAAGTTTGATTTTTAAGAAACCATCTCTTTTGCCAGCTCCTCTGAATGGGCTGTCACTACAAAAACAGTAGAGCTGATGGCATTGGAAGTGGTAAAGAAAAACAGACCCCTTTGTAAAGCTGCTTGTGCTCCTCTTGCCGGCCGTGCTTGAGCCGCACTGTTTTGTCATGTGCTGCCTGTGTGAAGGGTTGGGTAGGTAGGTAGCTAGCAAGGTAGAGTCTGTGTTCAGCTTCCAACAGGAAATTTCATCCTTTGGGTAAATATTTGGTCTGTGCTTTGCATTTGAAATAATACTAATTAGGGAGGTTCTCAGTTTCTAGTTAGATAATGGTAATCAGCAACTTTTACTTCCTTATTTATTGGGGAGGGGGGAAGGGAAGCCTGCACCATACACATACTAAAAGAGGGGGCGAAAAGTAAATTCTGACAATAGAAAACCTGGAATAAAAATGGAATTAAACAGACGGGAAAGGAATTAAATATAAGTTTAGCCTAAGTGGGAGGAAAGAGTGAGAGAACGAAGACAAGAGCAAGAAAGAGTTAGGGTGCTCGGGTTCTGTCATGATGCTCCAAGTAAGAAGCTAGAAATCGTAGTAAGAACTTGTGTGAACTATGCAAACTACTGCTGAAATTAGTTAATTGGAATATTAGTATACTTCTGGTTTACTGTAAAAAAATTGATCTTCACAGCTCACTAATTAAGTCTCTTCATCTGTCTTGATATTATGAGAGATGTCCCTAATGTGATTAGTTTGTAATATTTTGCTCTTTCTGTAATGGCTTCTTAAGAGTTTATGTCATGAAGGCAGTCCTTTTCCATTGAGTTCAACAGGCTGCTGATACCCTCTTTGCGGAGTTTTCAATTGTATCACAGGATCAAGTACCAAAAATATTTAATCCTTGTCAGACTTCAAGCTATCAACAGCTTCTAGTTGTAGGCACAGGCAGTGCTTCAAAAGAATTAAGCAACTTCCAGATCTGACTTTCTATAGAGATGGCTTTTCCCGAAGTACAGCTGCTTCAGAGGACTTTGTGGAGCTATGCATCCCTCCCTATGCTTACCTACATTTTAATCATGACTTAGAATCACAGAGCCACAGACTGTTTTGGCATGGAAAGGACCTTAAAGATCATCCAGTTCCAACCCCACTGCCATGGGCAGGGACACCTCACACTAGAACCGGGTTGCTCAAGGTCCTGTCCAACCTGGCCTTGAACACTGCCAGGGATGGTGCATTCAAAAAGTCCTTGGGCAACCTGTTCCCGTGTCCAGAAGATGTAAATTGGATTTGAGAGGATGAAAATTCTACTCAAATCAGAATGATTTGTGTATTTAGGGTTAAATTCTGGTTACATTTATTACTAATATTTTTTTTGTCTTTTACAAAGAGGGGAGGACAAAACATACGACATCTTCACCTTACATTTCTGAGAAAAATAATCAAGGAAGTTTCTTAATCTTAGGAGACAAGCAAACAAACAAAAAATCTTAGCAGAGAGGAAACAAAACTAAAGTTATGTAAAGAACTTGTAAAAATAACTTCCCCCCAAATAACTGGAAGAAGTCAAAGTTTGGCATATTGAATCTGGCAAAGAGAATCTGCTAAATATAATGAGCAACAGAGAATTCTGTCATTTCAAGGAGACTAAGAGTTTTGATAAATACCCTACTACAGTGCTAAACCCGTATGTACAGCACTGTGCTGGTGTACTTAAATCAGAATGTGAAAATGATCATTTTAATTTCAGAAACAAACAGAATGAATTGGGGAAACCTCTAACTTTTGTCTTACTAAAGCACACAAAGGCAGCACTGTGAGAACTACCTTATCGGATTTAAGATGCTTTTAGATGTGGTATTTTTCACATGCAGCTGATGTTACAGATCAATATTAAAAGGCAAGATGCAGATGTTTTTTATTTTGGAAAATCTGTGCCATGGATCAAAGTATGTTGTAGGAAAATCTGTTTTGCAGTAGTGGTTCTGTGTTTTGATGTCTGGGGAATAACATTTTAGTAGCTGAATTAGCTGCTTTTTTGCATCCATATCAGTAAAGAGTGCTTAGCCCTGAGCCTTGATATGAATGCTCACTTCTACTTTTACTCACAAAAGGAAGGCTAAGTTTCCTAACAGGAATATGAAGTTTCTAAGAATACAATGTTGTATGTGATTATTATCAGGTCCCAAGACCTGATCTACAAAACTTTAGCTAGAAATACCTTTATATGTTTAGTAAGCAGTTCAAACCTCACAGTGTGAACTTCTGAACGATGCTTATCCAATTATAGTTAGGTTCAGTTGGATGTTTTGAAGAAAAATGACTATTAACAAATCTCCCTTTCTCCTTTTGCAGCATTAAAACTTCCTTTTGGCAAAACAACAGTGATGCATTTGGTGGCTAGAGAGACATTGCCAGAGCCAAACTCTCAAGGTATGCTGTGCACTAGAGAAATTTCTTACTCAAGTATATGGAAAAGCATTCAGATATTTTACAGGATTTTGGAGTATTTCATAGCAGAGAAAAGTCAAGTCTTTGTGGTCTTTTGTGAAGCAACTAATGGAATGATTTTGTACGTGTTGTTTATAGAAAACTGAGAAATTAACTTTCTGGTTTAGCATTATTCTAGAACACAGAAATTTGCTCAAACCTTTTCAGCTTTTATTTTTATTATTAAAAACTACTCCCGAGTTATTTTTCACTTATGGATGCATGTCTGTAATAATATATCTTTACTAAAAATAGTAAAAGACAAACTTGTATCAAGCATCCTCACACACAAAGCAACCACATTGCTTTAGAAATGACATGTGAGCAAAATTTTCTTCTTCCTCCACAGGTCAAAGGAACCGTGAAAAAACTGGAGAAAGCAATTGCTGTGTAATTCTGTAAACCCTGTTAGCTGTACCTGCTAAGTGTGATGTAATATAGTCTTTGTCTTTCATGCTGCTGGAATAGAAGAGGCCCTACCTTGCTTCAGACACCTGTAGGAAGAGCCTGTCTGTAAATCCATGGAACTGAGATATTACACGAACACTGTCTCATTAGTCTTTTTTTTCTTTTTAAGAGAAAGATCTATGAACACTTTCATTGTTTGTTTCCTTTTTTAAATTCCTGCTTTTTGTTTGTTGAATAATCTTACAGTACATCAGTTCTTGAAAGAATTCAATCTCCAGAAAAGTTACTGTGTTCTTTTCCATAGCAGGAATCATTTTGCTGCCACAAAAATCTCCATTAACTGGATCTAACCAGTCAAGCTTTCTAGATGCAATTTGCACTAAATATGGTTGACAGTATATTTCTCATCAACAATCTCTAACAATATTTGAGACACCTAGTGATAACCCACAATGTATAATGCAACACTGGAAAATAGTATATCTGTAATTAAAACAAATCTCACTTATGGCCAAATCAAAGGGAAAACTGTTAAGTCAATTCTATCTAAGTCAACCTTGGTGGCCGAACTGGCACAGAATACTAACTAAAGCAAGTCTAACTCTATATATTTTCACTGCAACAAACAAACAAAACTATGTGCCTGTAATTTAAAAGCACTCTGTAGAGGGCTGATGAAACTGAGTTTTTCGTTACTGCGTGCGCTCTGATCTCGTACACCAGTTGAGTGCTTATTCAGACAGCACAAACAAGTGCAGAGAGTGCATTTCCTAGCCTTAATATGGGAGGGGTAATTTCCTGTAGTTCATAGGCTTTTATTATTGTGCATAAATGTTAGAAAACATAATTTACTAATCAATTTTATGTATTTGAATATTGGCAATTGGTGTTTTTCAATCATTTTCTCATCTGTACCTTAGTGTCCAGTGTCATGCTTACTCATTAGAGACTTCAAAAGAACTATTAAAGTTTAAAAAAGCAAAAAGAAAAACCTCTGCCATAGTACTAGTTTTGTTTCTTTAAGTAATCTGCATTTGGTATTAGTGCTTGCAATTGTATTAAAATCAGAAGCTGATTTCTGAAGGCATACATAATTAAAAAGGATGCCATTCTTTTATTTCATATCAATAATTTAAACGTTGATATGCTAAAGAAATTTGCACAGCACTAAAGCATGAGCTAGTTTCATCTTAAACCTGTAAAAAAATAAAAATAAATA